ACTGTCTGTAACCATCCTCATGGCTTTTATTGTCTTGCTTAGAGTTAAATGATTGAAAAGAAAATTGCTTGTTTTGATTCCAACTCTTTCAGATTGATTGAACATTGACTCTTGAATTTAAAGATGAAGAAGCCTATGTCTAAAGATTTAGTGGAAAGATTTACATCCTTTACAGGCTTGGCATTCAGACTTTCTACAAATGTAGTGGAAACAAAATGCAGATGGAGCAGCCAATCGCTACTGATAATGGTACTCATACCCATCGGTGAAAGAGGTGTGTTGTCTCTGCAGAAAGACAGCACATGGCTGACTTGCCAGAACAGAGCTGGTGTGAACCTCAGAATGTCCAGTTATGAAGAAAGAAAATGTCAACTAGCTTCCTCATGAGATAATCGAGACGGTGAGCTGATTTGAAAACTAGAAGGAAAAAGGGTGTGAGATTATATCAGGTCTACTGTAGAATTAACAATAGGAAAGTTCATTAGCAGTTTTAGAAATTCTATTATTTCATTTTATTAACTATATTTTTTATCAAGCAATTATAATGTCATGAAAAATATAATTTTTATTTCATCCTATTTTTTTAAACAAAATTTTTTATTAAGATTCCTTTGCTAGCCAAGTTTGTTTTAAAAATATTTTTGCATGTATATACACACAGAAAAAGTTCATACAGGGTCCCCAAGGGGTCTGAAAATATAATTTTTTTGTTTAACTTTTATATAAAGGTGTCTTTGGAAATTAATCATGTAAAAAAAGATGACTGAATACAAATAGTGAAATTTTTCTACCAAAACCAAAGATCAATAATTCAAACTCAATGAGCATATCATCATCATTATGGCGCGAGAGATTCTCCAATAACAGTGCAGTATGTAACCTTTCACAAAGTGGTAGACCACGTTTGATTAGGAACAAAGGAGTATTGAGTAAGGGAGATTATCAAAGAAGATCCAAGTTCATCAACTCAAAGGCAATCTCGGCAGGTTTCGATCTCTTGGACCTCAGTCTAACAAATTTTGAAATGAATCAACTTGATTTCATGCAACAAGATGAGGCAACATGACAAGTGTCACAACAGATTCTCAGGGAAATTTTTGGGAAAAGAATAATTTCTCAGAGTTACAGCATAAACTGGTTACCACATTCCAGGATCTGAAAAATCACCAAGTTCTTCCTATGTGACTATCCCAAAGAAAAGGTTTATGTCAACAAGCCTCATACTAACCAACATCTAAAGGACAACATTCAAACAGTCATCAAAGCAAAGCAAGAACTGTGATGGAAAATGTCTTAGAAAGGCGATATTTGTGCAAAGCTGAAAATAGATGACACTTAAAAGATGTAATCTTTTTCATCTAGTGCAAACAAATTTATTTCCCATATCAACTGCATATAATACTATAGTATTGTGAAACAAAGTTAAAAAATAAAGGAGTTATTAAATTTTGAAGTCCATTGGTGACTTCTGGGACATCCTGTATATACACACATAAATATGTTCATATCCATATGTAATAGACATAGCTTCATATACACACGTAAAATGGCTAACATTCTTTGAAGATGATATTAGAATATCCGTTCTTATATCTAAGAACATTTCTCATTTAAGCAAATATTCCCTGATATCATTTGCAATAAAATAATCATTTTATTATATCTTCATAATTTGAAGTTGCAATAAGTGAGCTTGAAATCTTAATAAAAAATTTTGTTTAAAAAATAGAATGAAATAAAAATTATATTTTTCAAGACATTTAATTGCTTGATAAAAAATATAGTTAATAAAATGAAATAATAGAATTTCTAAAACTGCTAATGAACTTTCCTATTGTTAATTCTACAGTAGACCTGATATAATCTCACACCCTTTTTCCTTCTAGTTTTCAAATCATTACAAAAATAAACTTTGATGAATATTGTAGTAATGATCAATAAATTTTTTTCTGGAAGCAAAATAGGTTATTTTCAGAGTAAAAATGGTATTTTTTCAGTGTTCTTTCATAAAAATCATGTACATCAGTAAACCAAAAATATGTAATTGAATTATAAAATAACCAATAAATTCATAGAAGAACTGTGTCATAAAATCCTTTTATTTAATAATTACAAATGATCAGCATCACAATATTACTGACCCACTTAAAGTAAAAGGATAAAATTTTATGTTCAGATAATTGAATAAAGCTGTCTTTCAGTGAACTTAATTAATCCATTTTATTAAGTTAAATAGCTTTTGTTTTACAGAGATGTTATGGTTAGAATGATATGCCAATATTCTTTCTCAAGGTCACCATTTGTGTGAAGGGTAATTGGTACACTTTTCAATGGAGGTCAAATTGTGTTCAGCTGATCTTAGTTGAAACTGAGATGAAGTCACAAGATTATAAAAGAACACTTGATTGTGAATTCAGGTTGAGTGAAGTGCAAGATTGACTACTTGTTAGTTTGACTGTAAAAGCACTACGTCAGATTGGTAATATCAGTTAAGTAAATGAATGCAGTTGTGATGTTGAGCATATGAAGAAAGATTTATGACATCATTTCAGAAAAGTGAAAGCTAGAGTGAAGCAGTTCATAAATAAATGGATGACTTGTAACTAAAATTAAGTTTGTTTGTAGTTATATTGTTATTGGTGGGGAATTGATAGTGAAAAAGTTAATAATTGTTTCATTGCTTTGCTGCATGTATGAATATGAAGTTGAACATAACATTGGACTGTCTTAAGAATTCCACCTCCAGATTTTTCTTCAGAGTTTACCCCGGAAGCCTTTCCCATGAGTGAGCATAGACAGTGGAAGTTTAAAGTCAGAGTTTTCCTTCTCTTAGATGGACTACACTCCCAGACTGACAAGTTCCACCTACCTGAAGTACATGCATAAACACATATATATATAATTTACACAGGATGTTGGAGTAAGTAGTTTGTGTACTGCTTTAAGAATTATATATATATATATATATATATATATATATATATATATAATGATAGTAATAGAAATCAATAAATAAGAAAAGGATAAAATTAGAAGAAAATGTTTGAATGATAAATGACATGGGAATAGTTGTTGGGTTTTGTCATGTAAATAATTGAAAGTGAAAAAGTTAAGAATTGCCTCCTTGCTTTGCTGTATAGGTGAATAATTGGTGGGTTGTGCATGTAAATAATAAGAGTATGCTGTGCCAAATTCTATTGATTTCAGAAACTGGTCTGAAGAAACTGTTAATATAGTTGCCATTATCAATGTGACTGATTATCCACAGTGTACAAGTAACATTGTCAACATCTCTGAGGTCAGCCTTTCCATGTTTTCAATCTATAATGTCCTTTTTTTGAAAATGGTCATTCTAAACCTGAGATGCCTTTATATTTATAGGTGAAAAGTGACTAAAATCTGAGAGAAGTTGGAGTAAATGGTCTTCAGTAGTTTTTTGCTTGAATGTAAGATATGTATACTTCACTATTAAGTTTTTATTACCTACTTGAGGTTTCAATCCCTTGTGCTTGTAAAAGTTAATTAAATCATATACAAAAAAAAAGAAAGCTATTGCAATGTGAATAAATATCTCCTCAGCCCTTACCAATGAGAAAAGATGTCTGCAGATAATCAATTTTTATGAATTAGAAATGTGAAGTATTTTGTTCATATCTTCATGTGTATTCACAACATCCATAGAACATTATAAAAGTAACTTCTCATGCATGCAAATACATATACAGGGTGCGATAGATAAATTGTCGTATAAATTAAAAAATGAAAATAACACTGACATCTCATTTTAATAGATATATTTATCAAAATTACATAAAAATGTCTTGAAATACTAAACAGTAAATTTATTCAATAAAATCGCCATTGGCTTCAACTATGGCCTCCAGACAACTTCGGAATCTCCCACAACTCTTCTGGACAGTCTCCATGTTGAACTTGGTGAAAGCTGTCAACATCCTTGCCTTCAGTTCATTTTTGGTGTTACAAGGAGTTTTATTGGTCTCTCACTCAACTATACCTGACACATAATAATCAAGAGGGTTGCAGTTTGGGATGTTAGGTAAGGGGTGATGTTGCAGAAATTGTCTGACTGCCATGACTGGGTTTTCCTGCTTGTGTGGCATGGTGCAGAGTCCTGTTGCCAGACTCTTGACTCAGGGCAGCATTACCTACTCAAGGCACTTGATGTAGGCCTCTGGTGTTGTCTGGGGTCCTGTGGGAAGATGAATGGAGGCATAACCTAACCATCACTAGTGATTACACCAAATCACCGTTAGACTCATCCAACTCTTTCTGCACTGTCCGCAGATTGACACCCAAACACTCTGAAATGTTCGTATTGGAGCTTCCAGTGCGAATATCAAGCATGCTGTTTCCAAATTTTTGATGGAGTGAATTGCATCATGGTGCTCTTTTTATTATAGACAGTTCCCAACTGGCCCTACTATACAGTGCAATCAACAAAATTAAAAGCAAACAATGCACATGCATGAAATTAGAATTATAAAATGGCGACAATTAACCTATCACATCCTGTATATTCCCTTTTTCTCACTCTTTCTCTTGCTCTCTTATATATATATATATATATATATATATATATAGTGTGTGTGTGTGTGTGTAAGTGAGAGAGAGTATACATATGCAAATGGAACCCAGACACTAAAGATCTTGAATAAAAATATAAAATAAAATTAGCCTTTGTAAAAAAGGATACTTTATTCTATTTTATTTGTTTATATAATGTAGTGCACAAAAGTAAATATTGAAATACTTATAAAATCGAGCACATTTCTTGATTTTAATAAAATATTGTATACCTCAAAGTACGATTTTTGGAAAATTTTTCACTCTTTATAAATTGGCAGTGAATGCAGAAATTAGAATAAAAATTTCTACAAGTATTTTTTTAATTAACCTGAAATAGGAATGTCCCATTTCTCAAAAAGCTTGTCTAAGGCATCTTCCATGGGCTGATTAGTGCCTCTTAGACCAGCAACTACCTTCTCTGCCCATTCAAAATATTCTCTGGCTCGTTCAGGAGTCCATCCAACAGGGATTGTCTGGTCAAGGTCACGGAGGTTATACAATTTGTCTGCTAATTTTACAAGTTTAGCATGGGGGCTGCTAGATTTCACATTTTCAATCTGCAGCCTCTTGCGTTCCATTTTGTCAAGAGTTTTGTCATCTGTTACCTCAGCAACAACATCTAATGGGAAAAAAAATGATATGACATATCAGTTAAAAACATTAAAAGAAGCAAACTGAAAAAAATTAACATGGATTCAAATTTAAATGTAATTTAAAAAGAATATTGTCTTAAAAATAAATGAAAATATTTAATATTTTTTAATGGGATTTACTTCAATAGTCCAAGCAATTGCAGGAATTTGTTTTTGTCATTAGGAGAAAATTAGCTGATAATTACATAAAACCATTGCAACTAACAGTATCAACATCAAATCAACCAAAGATACAAAAAATTATTCACAGCATCATCTCAGCACAAAACATCAATGTCATGTTACTAAGCTACCATATTTTTTTTATTTTTACAGAAACCCAGAAAAAGATGCAGAATTTTTTCACAATATCTTTCTCTGTTGGATTTTAGTCAAATGTGGTATCAATGAAATGGGGTCACTACAAGTGAGCCTAAAGTGGATAGCAAATGTTGAATTCTGATTGAATGTGGTATCAGCAAAATGGGGCCACAGTGGTGATGACATTCGAAGCCTGGAGTCGATAGTGAAGGTTGATCAAGCGGAATATCTCCGTTGGATTCTGGTCGAATGTGGTAATCAACAAAACGGGTTACAATCAGGGAAGCCAAGAGTGGATAGTAAAGATGTTGATGTATTAGAAATCACAGTGTTGGCGTCAGGAGCCTGGTGGTATTGGCTGCATTTTGTGTGTGAAGAGTCAAGAGAAATTAATAAAGCTTGGGCAAGGCCATAGTTCTGATGAGAAAAGCAATCATGGCAGTGATGGTGACAGCACACTGACAGCTGGCATTTCAGCCTAATACTGTGTAAATCGTTTATGAGGTGCTTTCTTTTTAGCAAATCTAGTGACACCAATATAATCTTTTTTCAATAATAATGATTGATATTGGCTATTGTATTTTATTGTGTGGATTTGTTTTGTTGAACAGATGTGATATACCCAGAGCCCCTGCACAGAAAACAACTTTTTTATTTTGTATTTTGCTTTCTTAATGTTCATATCTTACCAACATGTAGTGTGAATCAGAAAGAGATATCATTGCAGCAGAGTATAACTTTCTTTACATCTTACTTGTGCAGATATATACAGTGTAACCCGGATATAATAGACCCGAATATAAGAGAAACCCGGATATAAGAGAGATTTTCTCTGGTCCCAAATTGTTCCCATACTTACCTAAACAAAATAGACCAAACCCGAATATAAGAGAAACCTGGATATAAGAGACTTCTTCTCCGGTCCCGACAACTCTCTTATATCCAGGTTACACTGTACATATATATATATATATCAGTGGCAACTACGGCAGTTGAGCTTATCTGAGTGAGTCAATATTCAATTATATTTATTTCAAAGCAACAAAAATCTTTTATAGTTTTCCTTCTTGACTTCAGCTGGATCCAAAATTAATTGTTTTAACTCCATGCCTCAAAATATTGACCGAAATACATTTTGTTGATGTTGTTCATTATAAAGAAGAAAGAAAGAAAAAAAAAAAAACAAAGAAAGAAAGTAAAAAAAGAATGAAATAAAATTATGTGGCTATGTAGATCTGAACCCTATCTATGCTGGAGACATTTAATAGGCAATATATTTCTAGCTTTAATTTTATAAATAATCTTAAAAATCTCTTATGATTTGTATGCCCTGTTTTTCAAAAAACACATTTTTATTTCAACTTATTCTTTTCAAATGTCCATTTTAAATGATTTATTTTGTACAGTATAAGGTTTTTTAACACAATGTATCAATTGAAAAAGGCAAATTAAATTTAGCCCGACTTAAAGTTGGCAAAAATCAAAGAAAGCCTAACTTATCTACTGGGGGGTTGAGGTGAAGGGTGTGACTAGGGTATTGTTGAAGAAATAGGATATCTGTCAGCGGTACTGATCATAAATATAAAATTCACTGAAAGAGAGGCACATAAACACACTAATGCCTACATATATATACAAATGCACACTTGAGATAGAAACACGTTATTTTAAAAAAAAAAAAAAAAAAAAAAAGCATATGTCTAGAGATTTTTAAAATTGATAAATTTTATTTAGAGTAAAGGAATCATTTTAGCATCTAAGTTATACCAATAGTGTATTTTGTTGTATTGCAATAAGCCCAACAAACATTGATGACCTAGAGTCGCCACTGATATATATATATATATATATATATATTTTGGCAAAACATTGCATAATCATAAGGTCTGACAGACCCTGCCACTGATTCAGCTGCCTGAATTTTTGGCTTTTCCTAAAGCCAACTTCATCTTTGAGATGTCATGGATGAGATTAAGAAGAACATGTCTGGGCAACTGATAACAATCCCAAAATAAGACTTTTCAGACTCTTGAAAAGTGGAAGGGACACTGGTATAAGTGTGATATCTGAAGGGAAGAATACTATGAAAAGGATTAAAGTGCTATTACCCTAAGTGGATCATTTTACTTTTGTTAATAGCTGGATTCTTTCCAGACAAAATGTATATGTGTGCAAGCATGCACACACACTTTTGAGATGTATCTGCAGTAGCACTCCCAACAAAGTCTTTCTCAGATAATAATTCTGGGTTCAGGTATGATTACAGGGCTTACCATTAACCCAGAAAACCCAGTCCATTTATATATTGATTAATTTTCCTAAATATTACTAAAGTCAGATTTTTAATGTTAAGGTTCCTAAAAAATGATCTGATTCAAATTCCTATCTAAAAAAAAATAAAACAACAGAGCAAAAATGGTTATGTGACACAATCTGTTTCAGACCAAATGTATGCAAATATTATATTTTGTGAAAAATACTTACTATATATTTTGGTAAATAATGCAATAAACTTATTTTTTATGCTGTAACATAAAAATTTATAAGTTTATTGCATTATTTACCAAAATATATAGTAAGTATTTTTCACAAAATTGCACCATATATCAATTTTATATTTAAAATAGAAAATATGAGCAAAAAGTTCAACTAATGTAATTACGTAAAATTCTAAAAAATATATTTAAAAGGATGAAAAAAAAGTATTTAATATCTCTTCATAAAAGGTATTTTTGGAGAAAGTAAATTTCTATATGGTTGCTTCAAAACAGCCATAGATTATACTCAGCTGTAAATTAGATCTCTTTCTGATTTGCTCTATATGTTGGCTGGATGTAAGCTCTAAGAAAGTAAAACCCAAAATAAAAATTCATCTTCTGTGCAAAGGCACTGAACATCACATCTGGTCCACAATACAAATCCTTGTAAAAATTTAAAATACAATAGACATTTTTTTTTGCTGCAAAAAATGAGACTGGGAGCCACCAAATTTGGTTAAAAGAAATTGCTTCATAAACAACTGACACAGTACCATGCTAACAGGCCAACTGTCAACAATGGTGTCATTTGTCATCATCACAACTATGAACTCGGTCAATCCAATATAATGGCAACCAGACTCTTTATATACAAAATGCAGCCAGGTCTCTCTTGATGTCGCCACCATGATTTCTAATACCACAAAGCCTTCACTATCACACTCCAGGCCTCTCTTGTTGCTACCACTGTGACACTGTTTTCAGTTGAATATCCCATTTGACCAGAATCCAACAGAGATATTCAACCCTAACTCATACTACAGGGATCCCTCCAGGCCTCTCTCATTATCATCACTGCTACCTTGGTCAACCAAACTGCTACCCACACCAGGCCTTACCAACAATACCCTTACAGCTAAAGAACCAAATATCAACAATTTTGTCATATTTTCGCTCAGTTATGTATACATTCTGAAAATTGATCAATACATACTGTTGAAGCTTTAATCCTTGTTTGTTCTTTCCATTGCAACCATGTGTTTGTTATAATAAGACCTTAGAGATATTGTAGTTAGTCTTTATTTTTAAAGTAAAAAAGTTACAGAGCCATTGATAAGAGTTATAAATTCATTCATGCACCATTGGTTTAGTCGTTCACTAATGGGAGGAATGTGACTCATCAATGACCTGTCCTCAATTTGCTGCCTCTCAAAAGATCTCCAGCCATGTTGCAAGGAAGATTATAAGAATAGTAAGGAAGCAACCAATGATTACTCCCAAACAGTAGATCTTCAAACATCAAGGACAAGAGTTAGATCTCAAAATGTCAGTAACACACTTTGCCATCTTATGATCTAGTAAAGCACAAAAAGTACCATGTCTAAAGGATATGAAGGAGTGTCTGAAGTTTGCATAAAAGCATTTATGCAAGCCAGATAACTTGAGAAATGAAAATTCTTTGGTGTGATGACAGACATTGTCAAGTTTGAGGGGAAGAAAATGAAGAATTCAAACCAGAGAATTCTGTCCTAACTGTAAAAGCAGAATGTAATGGTTTGGAGTTGTTTTTCATCACATAATACAAGATAATGTCACATAATCAAAGCAATAATGAATGGAGTTATGTACCAAGAACCTTCATCATCCAGAAAATTATGCAATTGGGTATTTCATCAAGACAATGATCCTAAGCATATCACCAACACAATAAAACAGTGGTTCAAAAATAAGAAAATCATTAGCATAATCTTTGATCTTACCAGCTACATCATTTCCAAACGTTTCTTTTAGTTCCTCGAATGTTGTGTTTGTGTCTTCAACAGTATCATGAAGGAATGCAGCCTGTTAAATCAATTAACAAATTAATGTTTCACTGAATAAAGCAAAAACAATGCTTCTTATGAGGCTGTATTTTTGTTAACATTGTAATCTTAATATTATTCTCTACAACAAAGCAAAATTTTCTATTATCTGACTGCAAAAATATTTACACATTTGTTTTTAAGTTCTCAATCTAAATTTATTTATTCTAGATAATGCTCAAATATTTACAATTTATCTTACAGACTTACTATTTCTTTTTCTGACACTACCATTTTCTGTTGAAGTTATTTTTATTTATAGCTTAATATTGATTAATACTGTTCATTAATATTTTTGCATAGACTGTTAGAATATGCTAGTCAAAATGACTGTATCATGTTTATAGAAAGTTGTTTCAATGGATGTTTTTTCATGGTTTAGTTAACATAAGAAAACAAAAACAGTAAATAACATCTGCTCTCATGAAGAAATAATATGCCTTTGATTTTGGGAAAATTTATTTCATAGTTGAATGGTTGCAAGTAATTTAAAATGTAAATCCTGCAAGTTTCTATCAGAAAATGATATTTTCTTTATTAACTAAATCTCAATAACAGAATCTCAATAAATCTTTTGAATGTGGAAGCTGAAAACTTAAAAATTTAAAATTCCCCACCCAATATAAAATCATACACTGATGAAAATAGTAATTTCTTTTTTATTACATATTCCAAGAATACCCTTAAAAATGACATCATTTATAATTTGGTAAAGATATTATAGATGTATGTGTGGCACAATTGTACATAGTTCAAATTCCAACTCTTATATTAAGTGTTTGGTTGCAAGAGAAAAGAATAATGAGAATTAAATTTTGAACATTTATTTATTTAGTGTGTCATGATATGTCAAAGCTGGTTGAAGTGTCCATTTCAGTGGCTGATTTTCAGGATGGCATTCAGGGTTGAGAGAAAGGCCAGGAGTTGACCTATTTCTCGTGCTGACCTGGTTGAGTTCACGGGATATGATTGGTGTATGTATTGGCTGATTGAGGTCACAAAGGTGGGCTGATGTCACTCATTGGGAGGCCTGTTCTATGGAATGGGGCCCACAGTGATAACTGCAAGGGAATGCCTTGTACGTGTTGGCTATGCTGAGCTGTTGTCCTGGAGTAATTAGCAAAGCTATGAATCTAACTGAGGATACAAGGGTGTGAGTGTGAGTAGTCAGGAGAAGTCATGAACCTGACTTTGCCAGAGTGACAAGGTCGCCATGCTGTCATGCTGAAGATGAACAGCTGAGGTGACTAGTCAAGCCTGGGCATGGTAATAGTCATTGAGAAGAGGCAGTGGTGGTGATGGTGACAGTGGCAGCGTCAGCAGTGCCCTGCATGTCAGCCAGGGGCCTGCCAGGCCGCAGTTGTCCTTTTATTCTCAGAGACATGTTTTTAAGCAGGTCTGGTAGTCCCCAGGGGCATCTCCTTTTCTGCAGGAACGTTCATGATTGGCTAGTGTCACTTTCATTGTCAGAGCTTGCTTTATAGGCCGGATGTGATGCATGGAGAAAATGTGCAGAAAATGACACTTTTTTTATTTTGTTCTCTACCTTCATGGCATTCACATCTGGCCAGCATGCAGAATGAATTAGAAGAGATCTAATTGCAATGGAGTATAACACAACCAAGGCTGTTTTTTGTAACTTCACACTAACATTCTTGGGAAAAACATGAGAGTATAACTTCTCTTTACATAAGTGGATAAACAGTAGAGCACACTGAGTTCCTTAGCCTTGGTAGGGCAACTAGTCTAGGAGAAGACTAATTTGAAATAAAAATCAGTGAAGAATGTAATGTTATTTTTATTGGGTACATCTATTTGTGTTACTATCCCTGTTTTTTTCCCTCTTCTTAAACAGTGAAATGAATAACAACCAGCCTAAATTGAGAAGTCCTACTAAAGAAAGATTGTGCCTTTCACAGGAATTGAACCTGTATCCCCTGATGGAAAACAGGATACACATTTGATTCCTGTCAAAGGTACAATCTTTCTTTAGTAGGACTTCTCAATCTAGGCCAGTTGTTATTAATTTTACTGTTTAAGACCACTCTACTACCCAACAAAAAAACAAGGATAGCAACTCAAATACGTGTTCCCACTAAAAATAACATTTATAGTAGTATATAAGTATGCATGTATTCAGATATAGTAGTCATCTGTGTAAATGGTAAAAAGTAGTAGGTATAAGTGTGTGTCTATGCAGGACTATGTGAATATTGTAGTCATCTGTGTAATTTCTAAGAAGAGGTAGGTATATGTATGTGTCTATGCCAGACTGTGTGTGTTGTGTCATATTTTGGTTTCAGGAATGTTACAACAACCACAGCATCAGTGAATTCATGAAATTAATTCATTAATTCTGATTTGATTTGATTTGATTGTTTATCTCCTTATATGCATATGCTAGCAAGACAAATTTCTGCTTGGGTTCTGATTGGTTAACAAGCTGTGAACTCATATCATGGTTGAGAATAGATCTTGTCTCTGATTGGCTGGCGAGACTATGTTTATATCCTTGTTGGGATGATTCTGGTTAGTTGGTTAGATTATGTTGTTATATTCTTGAGATCATTTCTGATTAGTTCATGGAAATACAACCTTATGGCCATAACATTTCTGAATATTCATTTATTTTTAAAGATGGTGAAATTTTGGTCTCTTGTTTGTTATTTTTCTATTGCTACACTATATGATCCTCAATAAGGTTATTTTTTTTAAATGTCCCTTAAGATTTTTGTACAAACAAGCTGATAATACAACAGTTGAGAATTACAATTGAATTTACATCTTTAGAGGGGTTAAATGAAATTAATAAAGGGAATCAACCTTTTTATTTGCTACACTATTGTCCTGTTGAAGCCATAATAATGCATAATTTGAAATACAATATTAAATCAATAGAGAACAGAACAAGTACTGTAGAATCCCTCATATCCAGAGTGCCTCATATCCGGACATGATTTTGATGTGTATATTTGAAGTACTTGGGTGATATGTAACTGATTTGAAATGTCTGTTTTTCACAAAATTTACTTTGGATAATTTCTTAGTGCAAAAGATGATTGGAATAAGAGGAAAAGAACAACTTTGTAGTTATCACAAAAAGTAGAAATTTTAAACAGACTAGATGCTGGTGAAAGTTCATTGTAACTAATGAGTTCACCATAGAAAAGTCAACATTGTATGATATAAAATCTTCCAAAGAAACTATTCTCCAGCATTCACACTGTCATAATGAACAAGGAAATAAAAAACATGATTTCGATGAAACCTGGACTGAAATTGAAAACGCTATTGAAAAGGTTGTCAGTTTTAAGGAAAGAAAGCCAGCATTCAGCAGAAAAAGTTGAGAATGACATGACAAAAGAAAGAATCATTATGCAACAGTGATTAAAAAATCCTTGTTAAATTATTTGTTTTGCATACATGGCATACTTAACTTAATGAATTTTCATTAACATAACATAATTTATTTCTTTTTCCTTAAAATCAATTCCCTTATATTTCACTCACCATTAGCTTATTTTGTTTACTATAAAACATTGAAAATAAATGTTAAATCTGATTTCAGTTCTTTTATTTTAATCTAAATATAACCCCACTCATACTAGGAATTTGTAACCAATTCCTCATATCCAGAAGGCCTTCTTAGTCCGGTTGTCAGTACTGTATTTAAATAAGCCATTAAATAAAAAAAAACAAATAAAAATACGTAAAATAAATTTACTTGTATAACAACTGGATCCGTGATGCCTGCTTCATTGGTCAATATGTAGCCAACACCTAAAAATACAAAAGCACATACAAAAAATGATAAGTATTATATTTAATGTTCACTATAATTGAAATTTAAAGAAATTGCTTCCAGCAATACTGAATGTATATTCATATAGTAATAAAATATCTAATGAAATATTTTACAGTAGGTACCTCCAATAATTCACTGAAAAAGACCATAACATAAGGAAAAAGCCCCAAACTTGATCTGAATTGAGGCATTTTACCTAGAGTACATATGTCACATGTTGACAAAGATGTTTTATCTGTGATGATCATTCACAGCACTTGGTAGATTCAAAATGTCTGACCCAATATTTTATGCCACGTTTTGAGATTATGTTTGGCTTGTTTTATGTGTCCTATTACACATTTATTTAAATAATATAGTCGACCATGTTTCGTTATCTTAAACTTGACTCCATTTCTGGTGGTTAGTGAAGCTGAATTTTGTGAAAGTTTTATAAGAGCTTCCTTTTCAGAAGCAGCTTTCACAGAAAAGATATTCTGATTAAAGCTTGGAACATAGAGAATGTTTAAAGCTTTTCACATCACATAACATTAATTTAACAGTTCCCCTTTTCAGGGTAATATTATTATTTCTTGATCGATCCACTAATTCAATAAAATGTTCATTTGGATCAAAATTGTCTTCAAATTTTATAAATTTGTATTCATTTATAATATGTGTGGTCGCTCCACAATCAACAAGTAGTTCAAAATTAATTGGTTTAATATTTGGATTTACCTTCTAATAAAAGCTTGTATTTTCTTTAATCCTGATAATATTCTCTTTTTCTTCTACAAAATATTGTGTCGTGTGTTTTTGATTGGCAAAATTCACACCATCTGTTTTGTAGGCAGTCTTTCACCATGTGACCATTTTTGTTGTATTTGAAGCATGTGGTGACTGGTTTGGGTGCGTTTTTCCTTATAGAGATTTTCATCACGATTCTTTTTTATCAAAAATGTGTCTTCACTTTCGTCAAACACACATAAAGAAGTTTTAAACTCTTGTAGAGTTGGTTGGTTGTCCTTTTGCGTTATTACAGTTTTAAGTGTATTGAAACATGCTGGAAGGCCTTTGAGTAGCATTGCTATCAACAGTGAATCCAAAATTACTTTGCTGGAATTTCTTAAGGCTGCTGCTGCCTTTTCAGTGCAAAGTACATAGTCTGTTAAATCCTCTTCCTGCACTTTTGTTAGTGTTGATAATTCCGTATATAATGCAATTATTTTAGGTTTTCCTTGGCCCATTTAGTATTCTCTTAAAATTTGTATCACTTTTTGTCCATTGTCTTTTGCATTTCTCATCACTAGTGCTAAACTTCTGTCGTCGAGTACTTGAATCAACTCGGCAAAAATGTCTTCATACTTTTCCTGGTCAATGTCCTTTTTCTTGAGTTCATTTTTTAATTGTGGAGGTACTCCATAAATTTTACTTCCCACAGTTTGTAGTTCTTTTCATTTCTGTCAAATAATATGTTCCATGTCATGGGCCTATAACCTGTTGGATTATAGTGGTAAGTTGACATAATGACAAAGAGCATGTAAGAAAGGAGAATGAAACAAGAGATGTACAATGTAACAGGTTTATTCACTGACTGACTTACAACAGAAAAATATACAGGAACTATAAAATAAATCCCTTTTTAGGGAGTTCCTTAGAAAGGGAGATAACTGCATTCACAGTTTACTCTAACAGAGCCAAAAGTCGATAAAAATATAAGTTTTTACACAAACACAAATGCCTTCAGAAAAATACACTTCTCCGAAAAAAAGTGTATTAAAAAAAAATAACATAGACATTTACAATTATAACATTTTAAAATAATAAAAATAACATTTTTATACTAATTCAAAAAGGTTATATCAAAATTTCATAAAAGGTCAACAATAGTGTGTGTCAGAGAGAGAAACCACACATTGAATTTGGACAGATTCTTAGACATGATCAGCAAGATGAGAACAATATATCCATACATGGAACAATGGGTTCATTTTGAAATTCTCTTAAAATTTTATTGAATTTTGCCCTCTTCATAAAAGCAGGACTCCTTGGAGAATGTAATGAAAGATGACTAAAGCTAAAAATACAACAAAAAAAAAACTTTAAAAACAAAAACTCCTTCTAGTCAGTTTAAATTAGTTTTTGAAATACAGCAAAGTATTTTGCTTATTGGAAATATTAAATTTAATCTGTTAGCTTAAAATTTAAAAATGAGTTTTCATTTTTAAAATTTTTTTAAAAATGAACTCATGCAGCTTTTATTTTAGTTTTTTTAATAGGCATTTATTTGTGTTTTAATACTAATAATACGCCTCTTAAATATCAACGCTACCTAGACATTATTTAAAAAATTAATCATTTATTTTCATATTCTATGTAATTTTTAAATTTGAGATATTATCTTCATTTCAGAATACATTCTTCCAATCTTTTCTCCATTATTGAATCTATTAAGCAAAATTAAGTATATACGACCCGCCCACCCCGTAAAAAAACGATAACTAAGTTTTTTTTTAATTAAAAATTAAAATTAATTAAAAAAACTTAGGTATCGTTGTTTTTGCGGTGGGGGGCGTATACTTAATTTTGCTTATTCAATAATGGAGAAAAGATTGGAAGAATGTATTCTGAAATGAAGATAATATCTAAAAATTACATAGAATATGAAAATGATTAATTTTAAACAATGTCTAGGTAGCGTTGATATTTAAGAGGCGTATTATTATTAGTAACACAAATGAATGCCTACAACAAAACGAAAAAAAAAAGAAAATCATATCAAGGGAGATAAGTACTGCGTATAAAACACATTGTAAACGACGAGGGAGTAAAAATTTAAAATTTTAACAAAATAAAATTAATTTAATAAAAATACCTATTGGATGATTTATGTAAGGCGTTTGTTCTTTGTCTTTCCGCCTCTGGTTCTTGTGCTTAACTGCAGCAAAATTGATACATTTTGTCAAAAGAATGATGATGTCGTTACTATTCATATTTTTTTTAACTGATACATGCGAGCAAAATTTTATCGGTTAGTCGTGCCCAACACGTCTATTGTTTATTTCTATTTTCAGAAAAGTATTTTATGAAATGAAACGAATGATAAAGATTATTGTTTACTCCAAAATTTGTTTCGGTGTTTTAAACTAACTACTAAAAATAATTAAATTTTATAATTTTTGAAATTGCAATAGGTTCGTTAACATTTTTTTTTAGATTAGTTATGGCAAACAGTCATTTATGCACTGATAATCTTTCATGCTAATTGGTAAATTTTATTCCCTATAAATGGAGAGACAGGTGACTTTCAATAAACAAATGCAAATGGATAATATTTCAGTGAGTGAGTTTTATTTCAATAAGGGATTCTTTAGAGAATTTGTATCTGTGCGAAAAGTTTGTGTTGGATGTGTTAATTATAATGGGTAATAACTTGTTGAGAATAGGCTGTGTGCTAATTAACGATTTCCACTAACATAAAAAATCTCTATGTTCATACATAGAATAAGATACAAAACTCAATGGAATGATTTCAAAACATAACAATTAGATTTATTAATGTTTGATGTACAAGCATGCAACTGAAAAGGTAGGACAGAGTCGTGTCCCTTAGATTTGGTAATATTTGTACCGGGGTTCATATTCAGAAGTAATATTGAACTTGTAATTTAGAAGAATAAAGTTTGGAATTGTGAGTTCTAAAGTTGATAAAAGTTCAGGAGTGATTTCAGAGTTCGTGAATGTTGGTAATTGTCTTAAACGTCTTGTCAGCAATGACTAAGACGGAAGTTGGCGAAAGTTACATCTTGAAACGTGCGAGAGAGATGAATGAAAAAATACTACTCCTCTAAAAAGTTCACACGTGTTCGGTTATATATAATGGTCAAGTGGCTCCCAGCATATGAGCGGGAAAACAGATTGGTCATGTGCAGGCGGTTTGATTGGTCGGAACTGACCAATCAGCAAGCCAGATTGGAGGTGAATGACCAATGAATACTTGTTATAATATATTGTATGAAAGTAGAATTTTACTTACCAGATAGGAAGAGTGCATTTCCTAAAAAGAAGGTAAGGCTGGTTGTGTTGTGAAAGATTCCACAAATACCCCCCCCCCCGAGATTAAAAGTTGCGGGAAGCTAAAACTTTTAATATGTAAAAAATACTGTCCTTGTGTCTGAAAAGAACATGTGTCTAAAAATTTTAAAAGAGCTTTTTCAATATGTACAATATTTTTTTTTAACTTGGTAGGCCCAGCTCTTGTAGTAACTTCCTTGGGTTGTGTTTGTGTCTGTTGAGGGGTAAGATTTTGAGTTGAACTGGAGAAGGATTGTGTCTGTACATCCAGAAATGCTGGCTTCAATCTGTCAATACTGACTTTTTAGTTTCTCTGTTGTTGACAAGAACTGTGAAATATTTTGGGCAACGGGAGACTACTCTGTATGGGCCAGAATATGCTGGCGTAAGTGGTTTTTTTTACTGCGTCTCTGCGAACAAATATGTATTCACAATTTTCCAAAGTTTTTGGAATAAAAATATCCTTGTCTTGTGTGCGAGTAGGAGTAAACGAAAGATCGGAAATGCGTTGCTTCAAGTCCTGAATAAAATACGTTGTTGGCCGAGTCGGGATATCTTTTTTAATGAATTGGCCAGGGAGTGTAAGCGAACTCCTGAAAACTAGTTCGGCTGTGGTACAATGTAGATCTTCTTTTACTACGTTACGGAGTGAAAGCATTACCAGTGGTAATCTTTCAATCCATGTTTGAGAGTCTTCAGTAGCTGTAAGTGCAACCTTAAGCTGCCTATGAAATCGTTCGACTAATCCGTTGGCACATGGATGATAGGCAGTAGTCGACACATGTTTGGCACCTAGCAAGTTTGTGAATTCTGTAAAAAGAACAGATTGAAACTGAGTGCCTCTGTTAGTGGTGATGACATCCAAATATAGAAATCCACTCGCGTAGAATCGCTTGAGATATTACATCTGCGGTGATCGATTTGAGTGGGACAACCACTGTCCAACGTGTAAAACGATCAATAATGGTTAATAGATACTGACAACCATCGACTTCAGTTTGAGGACCGACTAAGTCGACGTGTATGTGTTTGAAACGCCCATCTGGTGCTGCAAAATGTCCCGGAGGTGATTTTGTGTGCCGCTGGACTTTAGTTTTTTGGCACTTAGTACAACATTGTGTCCAGTGTTTAATGTTGGCGGACATTTGGCCAAACGAATCGCTCAGCAATCAGCTTTGTCGTAGCTTTGCGTCCAAGGTGAGAAAAGGAGTGAAAATGTTCAAATATTTGTTTGCGCATTGAAGGTGGGACGTAGGGTCGTGCATGACCGGTACTGATATCACAATACAAGTGTGTTGCGCTGAAAGGAAGAGGTCGCTGCTCAATTCGTAGTGACGTGTCCTGCTTTACTTTCTCAAGTGTTACATCGTTCTTTTGTTCCCTGGCTAAACACTCCAAGTCCAAGGATTGTGAACGAATAGAGTTTAAAGTTGATCTAGACAAGGTGTCTGCAACAGTATTATCTTCTCCGTGAATGTGACGGATATCAGACGTATATTGAGATATGTAATCTAGCTGCCTTATATCTCGTAGGTTGTATTTGTCCGTTCAAGAATGCAAAGCGTAGATTATTAGTGGCTTGTGGTCTGTGTAGACTACAAAATTCCGACCTTCCAACAGGTGTCGAAAATGACGAATTGATAAATAGATCGCGAGTAATTCGCGGGAGAAGGTACTGTATTTCCGTTGTGCGGAATTTAATTTAATAAAGAAGGAAAGTGGTCTTTTAAAATCACCATATTCTTGATGTAGAACAGCTCCTAGAGTCTGCTGAAGCGTCTGTAGTCAGAGTTAATACAGCTTTTTCGTCGCTAGAGATGTATGATAATTTAGTAAAATTCGCAAGAGTTTCCTTTGCGTTTGTAAATGCTGTCAAGGTATCACCAGTTAAGGTAATTTTTGCATTCTTTTTTTGTTGGCTCCGCAATAAGTTCGTCAAGGGAATTAGAATTTGAGAACATTTTGGAATAAATTGTCTATAATAATTGATCAAGCCGAGAAATCGGCGTAACTGACGGAGAGTTGTTGGTTGCGGAAAACTTTGTATTGCTTTAATTTTGTCAGGGATTCATGTTATTCCGTTCTCGTCGACTTCATGACCGAGAAATGTAAGTTTAGAAAATCCAAATACACACTTTTCAGGATTGATTTTCAGTCCAAAGTACTTTAAACGCTGGAAAACCTGTTCTACGTGATCAATTTTACTATGGTGGAATGCGATAGATAAATTGTCCTGTTATTTTTTAGTATGTATTTATTGACCAATTAGAATTGGAGAAAATGTAGGCGTGGCACTACAAGTCGGTGGTAAATTTTCCAAGAATGACAGCTGAACCCACCGTCAAGTAAATGTCTGCAAGCATCAATTAAACTGTTGCAGAATTTATGCTAAGTAAGATATGTGTCAGAAGGTGAAATTGTGTGAAGGCCTAAAATGTGTGTGTACATTATGCATTTATCCACAACAAATAAATTACACGAACATATGAAGACAATACAACTTGAAGAAATCAAGGAAAAACAACGTAGTTATAGATTTCAACAATAAGATGAATTTTTATATATATTTGATATACATAAAGTGATGATAGGTTGCTTGTTAAACGTGGCAAGTGAGATTGTGAATGCTGCTTGGGTTTTATGCGTTGAGGTTATCAAATGTAATTGCGTGTTCTAAGAGCATTTATCTATTATATTTTTAATGATTCAAAAAAAAAACGAAACTCCAACCGTGCATCAACAATAAAATTCCGATTAAGATTTAATGTTCAAAAGAGTTTTGAGGAAGCGTGCATAGAAGTCATCCTTTTGCGCGCGCGCGTTTTGCACCCCTTCCTTCCACTTTCGATTAGACATCGCAGTAAGCCATCCTTTTGTTGTTGACTTCAAGCTTATCGGCTGCTCCTGATATTTTTTGAACTGGAATTTGAAATCTTCCCGCGCAATTTCTTTGGCGTCACGGACAAACTGGTTTTTCGAAGTTAGTCGTGGTCTGGGCACTGAATCGACAAGTCGGCTCATTTATTCCTCGTCAGTTAACCATAATACAGACAGGGATATCTTAACAACAAATTATGCTTAGTCCGTTTTGGCTCGTCGTGTGTAATCCCACCAAGTCGATGCAACTTTCAGCAATTAATTCCTCGACCAGAAGCCAACATTTTGTTTGCACCTTTTCTTCTGTTTTCTATCAGAAAAACTTCGAGCTTACGACACGTTCGTCACATCACCTTTTTTTGACGACTATTTCCACGACCTAAGGCTAACATCTTATTTGAACTTTCTTCAGTCATCACAACACCTTTTTCGATGACTAATTTCTCGTCGAGTAGCGAACATCTTCGAGCCTGCCTGCTCGTTCGAGCCTGCCTTCGTCCATGACCAGGGAACTTTGAAACCTTCACCAGTTAAGAATGAGAACTTCTCATATGCGTTGAACTCTTAACACTATGAACCAGTACCTTAAAAATATAACATTACACTCACACTAACAAAACTCGTAGTGAGTATTTTCTTTGTTGTATGTATAAATCCGTATAAATTGACTGTTCTGGAACCTTCTTCCTGAAGAACTTTTCCCGCCTTAGCCATCTTGGTTTTCTGTTTTGGCGCGGGACACTGACATTCCTTCAGTGACCTCTTGACACAACCTTTTCATTAATTGCAAAAATCCAGTAACTTTACTGATGGTCTCCACTGTCGAGACAATTTACTTGTTTAAAAATAATAAAAGTCTATATTTGTTCTTTTACCAGACTCATTTTGTCGTTTAATCCTGGCTATCTACTTGTATTATTTTTATGCACTTGCTGAATAACCCTTTTCCTCACTAAGATCACTCACTCAATACTTTTACTTTGTTTGTAGATTCAGTAGTCATAAGTAGTGTCTGGCACAAGGCCACTTTTTAATAAACCAG